GACCGGAGTGAACGTGTGGGTTCGTAGACTGTGATGCGGTCAGCAGGTAGGGTGGTCCCAAACCGTTCAGGGCTTTGTAGGTAAGCACCTGCACCTTAAATTGGGCTCGGAAAATAAACGGCAGCCAGTGGAGCTCCTTAAACAGAAGGGTTGACCTCTCTCTGTAATGGGCCCCCGTTAACATCCTGGCTGCTGCCCATTGGACCAATTGGAATTTCCGAGCCGTTTTCAAGGGCAGCCCCACGTAGAGCGCATTGCAGTAACTTACATTTTCCTAGCTCTGAGCAAAATTTGCTTCTTGCATACAGCTTTATAGTGGAGCTATGCTTGATAAGAATTAAAGGTCCTATACACTCAAACCACTAAAAACAAAACAGTTCTTTCAGTTATCAGACTGTTAATGAATATGCTGCCATCTGAAGTTATTCTAAAGGCCAGATTCTACAAGATATACTTTGACAATACATTTCTTTGTGTAGGCACAAGGACTGAGTTTCATCCCCCACCCCCAGCTGTCTGGCAGAGCTGGGCCATGCAATGAGTCTAAGAGGAGACAGAGAGTTAAGCTGCCTGTTGTACTCCTGATATCAGAAGGGCCAGGACTCTGCGTGGACAACTTCTCCAACAGGATTTTTTTTAACCTTCTAATTGCAAGTTACTCCACATGGGTGATGCTTTGGCTGTGCCAGTCGGAAGAACTTCTGATGTATTATAATTACTATGAAAATAGGAGTAACTGGAGTGGGGGGCGGATCAGGTTTCAATTAAATTAACTCTCTACCTAAATCAGAAAATGAAGGATGTTTCAAAATGATGGACCCAATTTCAAAGCAGTATATTTCACAGTGGCAACATGTTACAATTACACAAAAGTGACAAACGGCTTAATGAAGGATTAAGTTATCATGTTTTATTAACCATTTTATAAATGCTCTTTGTGCTCTACACCGGCTGTATAACCTCAAATTCAAATAGGGTCCATTGTTTTGAAACACCTTGGAATTTCCAGTATTGTCACCTTTAGCTTTCTACTCAGGCAACAGATCCCCAAATGTGGGTTTTTTTCTATATAACATACTAGTAAAATATGGACTAAAAATACTACTGTTAGTTGGATTTGTAATTGGTTAAGCAACCAAACCCAAAGAGTGCTCACCAATGGTTCCTCTTTGTCCTGAAAAGAAGTGACTAGTGGAGTGCTGCAGGATTCGGTTCTGGGCCCAGTACTATTAAACATCTTTATTAATGACTTGGATAAAAGTTTAGAGCAGCGGTTCTCAACCTGAGGGTCGCGACCCCCAAGGAGGTCGGAGGGACATTTACCGGGGGTCGCGTAGCCGCCTCAGTTGGCCCCGCCCCCACTACCTCTCCAAAATGGCTGCCGGCTCCTGTGTGAGCCTAACAGCCAGGCGCTCCTAGTTGGCTCCTCCTTCTCTTCCTATAGGGCTGCAGGGAGTCAGGAGGAGGAGCTTGGAGGCAAAGGCCCATGTGGGAGAAAGCATGCCGCTCAGCCCTGACCCCCTGCCAAGCTCAGAAGGGGTGGGGATTGAGCAGAAGGCTCCTCGCTGCTCACCTCACCCCTGCCAAGCTCAGAAGGGACGACGGGTGAGCACAAGGCCCCCCGCATGTACAAGGCCATCTGGGCGGCGTTCGCCTCTCACCCCCACCGGGCTTGGAAGGGATGAGGGGCGAGCGCAAGGCCCCCCACATGGCCAAGGCCATCCGGGCACCCTTTTCCGCTCGCTTCAATTCTATTATTGGTGGAGAACAGAATGCTCTTTGATGCCTGGTGAACAATAAATCCACACAACTGCAATTCCCAAAAGTCACAGTCTATTTTCCCCAAACGCCTCCAGCATTTTCTGTTGGTCATGGAAGTTCTGTATGCCAAGTTTGGTTCAATTCTATTATTGGTGGAGGTCAGAATGCTCTTTGATGCCTGGTGAACTATAAATCCACACAACTGCAATTCCCAAGTGTCAGGGTCTATTTTCCCCAAACTCCACCAGTGTTCAAATTTGGGCATATTGAGTATTTGTGCCAAGTTTGGTCCAGATCCATAGTCGTTGGGTTCACAGTGCTCTCTGGATGTAGGGGAATTACATCTCCCCTAAATTAGTGTCAATTCCTCCCAACCCCTTCCAGTATTTTCTCTTCATCATGGGGGTTTTGTGTGCCAAGTTTGGTGCAGGTCTGTAATTTGTGGGGATCTCATTGGGCTGTGGAAGTCAGAGCTGAATCGGTTGAAGGTTTCAAATCCCTTCATCCATTTGTCCATACTCCCCCAAACATATTGTTTTTATCATTAATCACTAAGCTTTAATTATGTTCAATTTGTAACAATGAAAATACATCTTGATATTTACATTACAATTCATAACAATACCAGTTATGATGCAGCAACAAAAATATGGTTGGGGGTCACCACAACATGAGGAACTGTATTTAGGGGTCATGGCATGACAGCCATATATGAATATGTGAAATAATGTCATAAATGAAGATGAAGCAGGCTTGTTTTCTGCTGCCCTGGAAACCAGTACTCAGAGCAATGGGTTCAAATTACAAGAAAGGAGATTCCACCTGAACATTAGGAATAACTTTTTGACTGTGAGAACCATTCAGCAGTAGAACCTCGGAATGTGGTAGAAGGTCCTTCCTTGGAGGTTTTTAAACAGAGGCTGAATGGCCAATTCTCAGGGGTACTTTCATTGCACTTTTCCTGTATGACGGGGTTGGACTAGATAGCGGTTGTGGTCTCTTGATTCCATATCTTTTTTGTATTAAAACACTCATACAACAGGTGACCAAAAAACAAAAAAACAAATTAAAGATCATCAACAACAAAGAAAACCATTTTCACCACCACCCACATACACACACCAAGTTGAAAAACTGACTTCCCAGTTTTCTAACAAAAGACAAAGAAATTCAGAAGTGTTTATTTCACAGATTTTATCTAACCACAGTATGTGAGAAAATGTGAAGCACCAGACACATATCTAAAATTTAACTGCAGTAAACAGTCCTGAAGACATGTTCTCAGCTAGGTTGAATGATGTAATATGGAAGGCAAGCAACTGCAAGGAAGCATGTTTGAGATTCATTCAATGAGATTTAGGATCTGATCCAGACTGAACACACCTAAAAGTAAACACCACTGAATGCATAGGGTTATTTCTGAATGGACCTGCATAAGATGCTACTATTGGCATAATAGCCTTCAAGCGCTTCCTATTCCACATTTTCCTTGAGATACAAGGTCTATTGCTTTTTGCATTTTTGTTGGCCAGTGGAGATAGCACTCTATTGTGGACTGTTGTATTTTGTTACAAGGCCAACAAAGCTACCCCAAATATGTTATACAGATCCTCCCATGGCTGTTTACTTTCCACCCAGGAGCGTAAGCAATACACTACTTCCCCTGAGAGCTAGAAAGACATTCATGCCACTTTCTTTCATGCATGAGAGGTGGTACAAAGTAACCGAAAGCAGCAAGAATTCTGCCAGCTTGAGTACATTTTCCATGTCTATCCACACTATCCACACTAAAGACATTCCATGGAGGTTTTCTGTCCTACCTACCTTAGAGGTTTTCTCCACATGATGCCAAAGCATTATGTAATCTCATTTTCTCATTTGGAGTATACATTTGCAAATCCACAGCGCACTTGATTTATTTACTTATGGAATGTATGCAATTTAGAAGAGAATATTCTTTCAAGACCGCATAAAATAACAACAATTTAAAATGCCGTCCATATTTTAAAAAAAAACAACAACAGGAAGGGGGAAACCAAAGAAACAATGTCATTTAATTAAACCACACCATTCCATTCCAACTCAGCCAGCTATTCAGTCATGAGATGGCAGACCGAGGAGGAAGAACAGCAAACTCGTTCTCAGTTAAAAACAATCTGGAATTTTAAAAAATGACAACAAAGAAAGAAATCAAATAAAGTTAATAGCAATGGTTCTCAATTTGTGGGTCCCCAGATGTTTTGGTCTTTCACTCCCAAAAATCCTAACAGCTGGTAAATCGGCTGGGATTTCTGAGAGTTGTAGGCCAAAACACCTAGGGACCCACAGGTGGAGAACCACTATGTTAAGAGCTTGCTAAAAGGCAACAGGGAGAGACTTAGCCACATTTCGCAGACAAGTAAGGTACACAAAAAAGGTCCTCTTTGTGTTTGCTGCCTAACCTCCTTTCTCCTCCTGGAAGGGAAACACACAGGGTTTGTGGAACCAATCTTAATGGTCAGAGAGGTCCACACGGAAGATTCAACTCCTCCACAAAATGCAACTAGCCTTCTATGAGAACACAGCCTTTAAGGGTAGCAAAGGGGATAATCATGCTGCTTCTAAAAAGTAAGGTTGGCTGGACAATATAAAACCCAAAATAGGAGAAGAGAGCAGTGCAAAAACAGACGGGTGCAACTTTTCGCTTTTGTTCACAGGAATAACTGATAGGCCTCAAAGAACAAGAAGAAAGCAACCAATTATTTCAGAAACACCCAATTTATCACAGCTGTCTTCATGTTTCTTGGAGGGATTCTTATCCTGTGGAAGTTATGTGGCTAGCGGAAAACAATACAGAGGTATACAAGGAGGAAAGAACAGCTTTGATCTATCTCTTTTTCAAATCAGCTCTACATATGCCTATTAGCTAATTTACTGCTAGAAATAGATCATAATATTGCCCCACTGCTTACATTTTTTAGGAAGGTAGTAGTAGCGGTAGTAGTTTTCTTATGGGAGGAATACCCCATAGTGATACCCGAGTTAACAGGAAGTTTGATGTTGGCCTAATTCATCTCCATGCATACTAACATAACATATTAACATTCATAACAATTTCTGCAGCTTTGGCTGTTTCAAAGGGAAGTGTATGGCTACTGTGACAAAAAACTATTGTGATGAGACAATTAAATATGCAAAAAGCTAATTAAAAACCACTGAAGTTAAAATCAGTATGCTTATTTTTTACAAGCAGCTACTACCTTGCAAAAACAAAGGAGCCTCTTTGGCGGATTCGACTTGCTTCGACTGACCAGGTCGTTTATGAGTGCTCAGGTATTGTGCCACCCTTGAATCAAGAGTTTCTTTGAGAAGCATGAAGATTTCCTGCAAGAGAATATACTTCCAGGTAGGTTACAAATGTATTTTATAAAGTCTGCATAATCATGCATTTTCAAATATATTTATTCTGTGGAGAAATGTATTATTTGCAAACATGGAAACAAGAAAATAAAATATTGCAATGGCAATCTTGATTTGGAACTTAATTCAACCTCATTAGAACTTATTTTACGATTATCGTTGTATTCTAAGGTCCCTTCTACACAGCCATATAACCCAGAATATCAAGGCAGAAAATCCCAAAATATCTGCTTTGAACTGGGATATCTGAGTCCACACTGCCATATATCCCAGTACAAAGCAGATAATGTGGCATATTATTCAGCTGTGTGGAAAGGCCTAATACTTAAGACTACTATGACTGAAATATCTGAGAAAAAGTGGAGAGTGGGACAGAAGACAGAAAAGATAAAGATACAGGATAAAGGATCAATTGTTTGTTTGTCTCAAAGTAATCTTATATCTCTGGCTAGAAAACTATGCAACTAATTATTTTCTAGACATAAATCAACACCAAGAAACTAGGTTGGCAACATAGTGAAACAAAGAAGGCTAATAGTGGTGGTAGTGATCACTGGTTAAGACACATTTTATGCCTCAAATGTTAGACCTTTTTCTGAGTATATTTGATCCACTGATTCCAAAACTGGCACTAGTTTTTCCATATCAATTCCAGTTTTTAAATATAGAACATATGCCATATACAGTACCATATACAGTCTTCACCTGCTCGCCCTAGGTGGCACAATGGGTTAAATGCTTGTGCTGGCAGGACTGCGGACTGAAAGGATCGGCAGTTTAAATCCGGGGAGCAGATGAGCTCCTGTCTATGAGCTCCAGCTCCTCATACAGGGTGTCACCTGGGCAATGTCCTTGCAGATGGCCAATTCTCTCACACCAGAAGCAACTTGCAGTTTCTCAAGTGTCTCCTGACACGGAAAAAAAAATCCTGCTCGCCCACAGCATGATTACCATATCTGAGAAATTAGAACTGATGTGTTCTGTCCAATGCAATTTTTTGAATCAGTTCCCTAAATAACCCCAGGAACAAGACTAAAAAACAAGGCACCAAGAATTTGTATTTTTTGGGAGTAGGGGAAGCTGTGTAATATAGCACTGCAGCTTCAATTCAGTATTTAGAAATATGTTTATGCCTCCAAAGACAAAAGGGAGGCAAAGTTACCAAGGGTATGTAAACAGAAAATGTCAGAGTACTTGGATGTGAGTGATTTTCTAGTGTCATACTGTCTGTAATGCTAGAAATGTGAGGTCTGAGGAAAATTTCATGGTAGGGTAGTGAATTCTTATTTCTTGAGGCACTGTTCTTATTTTTGCATACACAGTCAGCTATACTGGGAGACTGGTGAACAGAACCAAATTACACTAAACAGCATTTCTTCATTGCAGTTGCAGATATCACATCTACATCCACCCATAAAGTTAATGCAAATCTATATGACTGTGAACCAAAGGAGACAGACAGGTATTAACTCAGTATTGGACAAAGCTCTTCAACTGCCACATTAATGAGAACTTTTAATGGCATAAAGACAGATAAGACAATAGTGACAACAATTGCATGAAAGAATCAATGCTGATTAGGTACAATGTGCAATATCTTCAAAACTGAATAAACAAAGGCTGGCCTATGCTTCCTCCTACCCTTAACAAGTTTTTAAAACGACAGGTCATTGAAACTCACCTCTTTCTTATGATCAGAAAACCAAACATTGTCTTTATTGGAGTCTTGTGGCATAATGTGGACATCTACCAGCACCGCATAGTTCCCACACTAAAAGATTGGTGGGAGAAGAAGGGGACAAGATTATGAATAGGATATGATTCCTGAGTATCCTAGTTGAATCATAAATACAGTTAAAAATTTATCCTGGGATGCAATACAGTAGGCCTACACAACTTGTGGCCCTCCAAGTGTTTTGGACTTCATTAAACAAGCTAGGTAGGGCTTCTGAGAGTTGGAGGCCCAAACATCTGGAGGGCCACAAGTTGTGCAGGCCTGCAATATATACTTATGGTGCTACATCTAAAGCCTTTTTAAATGCCAAAAGAATCTTAATATTTAAGTATGGTCTCACATGCACAAGCAGTAGTAGTACTACTACCACTTCACCTAGCAAAGGCCAATTTTCCAATAGCAACAGCCAATCGAGTGGCACCACAGAGAGCCACTTTCAATCTCTGTGCTACAAACAGACAGACAAATATACATACAATTTGACTTCTAGATAGATAGATAAGCTGTGTACGTCTTATCCAACATGCAGAAGTGTTTAGGATATCTGATTTTGGGTGGAGGGGATATTAACATATATATAATGTAACAATGCCCGACTGTTCACTGGAGGGAAGGATATTAGAGGCAAAGATGAAATACTTTGGCCACATAATGAGAAGACAGGAAAGCTTAGAGAAGATAATGATGCTGGGGAAAATGGAAGGAAAAAGGAAGAGGGGTGGACCAAGGGCAAGATGTATGTTATCCTTGTAGTGACTAGCTTGACCTTGAAGAAGCTGGGGTTGTCAATGGCTGACAGAGAGCTCTGGGGAGGACAGATCCATGAGGTCATGAAGAGTTGGAAGCGATTGAACAAATAAATAAGAACAAGAACAACAGCAACAACGTAAGATCTTGGAAATGAGACCCCAATTGCAAGCCTCATGCCTTTGACTGCCTTGTGATGCCCACTAAGAAGAACATTGGGTTCCCATCAGTCATCCCTCCAAGACAGTGGTCTCATATTCAACAGTGAATCCCTTTACTGTAGACATGGGCAAACCTCAGTCCTCCAGGTGTTTTAGACTTCAACTCCCATCATTCCTAACAGCCAGTAAGCTGGCTGTGAGCTTGAGGAGTTGGAATCCAAAACACCTGGAGGGCTGATGTTTGCCCATGCCAGCTTTACTGGCTGCCATTGCTTACATCATGTTTCTACATTGGAAGCAGAAAAACAAAAAAATTACTAACCATCAATTCATATTCAGATGTACAGGAAACAACATAAAATTTCCTTGAAGGTCCAAGAAACAAGCAAATCATTATGCAGTGGATGCTTTAAAAACCAATGAACTGTCTGCTCTAACTCACTATATACAGTGGTCTAGCAGTACTATAAACCTGCATGAAGGAGCTCAGTGACAGAGGGTTACAGGGGAATTATCAGCAAGACATGCCTTTTTGATTTAAATTACAGACCACTGTTGCATTCCCACAGCTTGGGGCAAAGATCAGGATGTTGGCAACCCTTTTCACTTCAGTAGTTGGGAGAGATACCTACAGGAAGATTTTATGCTGATGAGGGATTCCAACTACGCAGGTTCATAAGTTCATGGGGAAAGCGATAATAGCCAAAGATGACACAAGTAGGAAATCTCTTGAAGACAGGTGTCAAAACACATTGGGCTGATTTCACAATGGCATGGGATTTATTTTCCTTTTCTTTTGCAAAGGAGAGCAGTGAAGATTTATGTACGATCCATAAATTCAGTTGTGAAGAGAGTAGAATGTTTTTCTAACAAGCTTATCATAAATATTATTTATAGAGAGCTTGCTATGGATGCTTTCTATTAAGTTCAGAAGTTAAATGTTGTTTTTTTAAAAAAAAATAGTACCCCACATTAAGCAAATAAAAGTATGCTAAATTTGAATCATCCATTCCAGTTCTACGGTATTCATTGAGGTTTGATCTTTACAAAGTTAATTTAGCATCACGTTTTCAAGGAAATAGTATTTCTGCTCCCTCTTAAGAGATGACATGCAAACTAAAGCCTTTTTCTGTGTTACTGAAACAAAGCCAATCATGGTGCGTGCAAAGAGCAAAACATCTAGTGGTTTATCTAAAACAGGGGTGAGAAACTGCTAAAAAAGGACATCTGTCATATGGGTTCTCCTTGGCATCTTGGAGAGCTGTACCCTACCTATGCCCTACCATACCTCCATCTTACTTTTTTTTTTAAACCCTTTGTAAAATGGCCCACCATGGCTCTGCTTGTCTTATGGGCAAGGAGGAAGGGATTGTGCTCCCTTCTGGGGTAGTCGTCAGCTAAAGGTTGGAACAGGTAACTTCCTATTTCATAAAAAGACATCACTTCTTCTTAAAGTTATTATGTTCCTTCAAGCTTCCCGTGGAGATAGGGTCACAAGGGCTCTCTGTTCCATTAGTTATTTTTTAAAATTAAAAAGCATGTGGAGAAGGGATTCTGGGGGTTTTCAAAAAGCCCTTCAATGGTCACACACACCATACAAGCTATAACTTCCCAATGTTGATCTAAACATGACTCTTGAGATGTTTCTAACGCTGTACTGTAATATATATTGATAGTATACCAAACTCTCTGAAAGACAAATAATGGCATAACTGGCACACAAGAATAAGGTACCAGAAAGGTTGGATATTAGAAAAAAAATACTGAAAAAAGGAAGGAAGAAAATCCAGAAAAGGAAACCCAAAACAAACTAGAGGAATGGGCATGCTCAGTTGGAACTGAACACTGATTAAACACTGGGAAGGGTCTTTTTTAAACCTTGTTCCATGCTTTTTCATAATTATTTTGATATAAATTGTTATTTTTATTAGTAATCTATAGTCCTAGATATCTTGTTTACACTGCAGTCAGCGGAGGAGGCCCTGGTACCAGCCCCACCTGTCTCAAGCGTGCTTGGTGGGAACGAGAGAGGGGGCCTTCTCCGCGATCGCTCCCCACCTCTGGAACTCCCTCCCTAAAGAACTAAAGATGCCCCCTCTCCTCTCCTTTAAAAAGCTTTTAAAGACCTCCTTGTGCAATCTATCTTATGGAGAGGAGAATTCGCATATCTTACACACATCCTCGCCTTGACATTGGACACCTACCTCAGCCCTCTGATGTGATATACAATATTATGCTTTTAATGTATTGTGTTTTAATTGGTTTGACTCCTTGTGTTATATTATGTTTATTTAGTTTATCCTTGGTTAATTTTCAGTTGTTTATAAGTTATATTGATTTTATTTTATTTCATGTTTTGTCTTGATTGTTGTTTGTCTGTTTTTGTCATTGAATGTTTGCCATTTTTGTTATTCTTTGGAAACTGTGCTGATTAAATTGTCTTAAATAATTCTGCATATTGAAGAACTATGAGTAATGGAGCTTAGGCTGATTCAAACTAAGCCCTTTTAAGAGTACTATTTTGGAACACCAAAGTGTTCACCCTGTACAGAGAATACAATTATAGCTGTACCTCTACCTTCTAAGAGGCAGCTCCCTGAGGAAGGAGGTACCTGTCAATGCTTCTCTTGTCATCTTCACTGCCTCTTCTACAGCCAATCCTGCTCTTTCTCCTCCCCCTCCCCATTATTATTTAACAGCCTACATGCATCTAGTGATACCTTGAATTAGCTATGGCATGTCACAATGGTTATATCAGTGATGACGTCTCACAATGGTTATCCAGGCTACAAAGCTTGCCATGCCTTGGGCCCATCAGGCCATATTGGAAAGCCAGCATGGTGTTGCCATTTGATTGTAGAATTAGGTGGGAGACCACCAACGAATCCCAGATATTATAGGTTATATTTTGGAGGAAGAAACTGGCAAAACCATATCTCAGTATCCCTTGCCAAGAAACCCCTAAAGAATCCATGGTGACACAGTAAGTTGACAGATACATACACACACATACATGTTCAAATATATGTGTTCTCACAGATCTGGATTGTTTGTAACTGAATAAGGGGATGTTAAGAATCTTTTAAAAATAAGGCAATATCTGCCTTGTTATTTTAATGCACCTTAGATTGAACACTAGCATATAGGGAAACACTGCTTGAATACCAAGCACAAAGTAACTGCATGCAATAATATCCTGCGAAAACTTGCTGACTGCACATGGGGTGCAGACCAAAAATTAATAAGAACATCAGCCCTGGCCTTGTCTTACTCAGCTGCCGAGTATGCTTGTCCTTTTTGGCATAAGTCTGCCTATGCAAAACAGGTGAACGTAGCATTGAACAAAATATGCAGAATAATCATAGGACGTCTTAAACCTGCACCTGTTAATAAACTCTACAAGCTAGCTGGCATTGCCCCCCCCCCCCCCCGATGTGCGATGGAAAGTTGTTGCTAAATGTGAGAGAAATAAGGTTGAACACTCTGAAAGCCATCCACTACATGGCTTGCAGCCTCCTCCCAGCAGACTCAAATCAAGAAAAAGCTTTATGAGAACTACCACTCTTCATGGTGTCCCCCCAGCAACAGCAAGGGTATCCCTCTGGACAGCTAAACCAGGAAATCCCAACTAGATGGCCCCCCACGAGGGTCTTCCTCCAGGGGCAAACCAAGAATAAGCAACTTGGAAGTCCCTGAAAAGACTCAGAAGTGCAGTGGGCAGATCAAAAGACAACCTGGCAAAATGGCGCTACCTAAAAGAATCCCAAACCTTGTGTGACTGTGGAGCAGAACAGACAACTCCGCATCTGTATGCTTGTCCACTGTGCCCTGCCTCATGTACAGAGGAAGGATTGTTGGAGGTTTAGCCGCTTGCGCACCTTCTATTTTTATCAGTTTTATACTAATTTATGCAATGCTTTTGATATGAAATAAATAAAAAAATAATGCACATATTGATCTATTACATTGCAGTGGCAGGAAAACAGGTTATGTTATCTCCTAAGATCAAGGGAAAAATGCTTTTAAGGCTATAGGAAAACACTTAGCAAAGTGGAAGTTTCATTGAGCACAACAGAATTTACTTCTAAAAACACATGCATATATTTGTGGTTTACATGACAAGCTGTA